CCCTGTGATCCAGTGTGCCTGTGCCCATGACTTGCGTCAGCTGTATTGTGTATAGCGAACGTTTTTTTCTGTGAATGCTTAACTTTTTATACTGCTGTGAGAACGATAATTTAATGTGAAGTCATAGTTTTTATACTTAATATAAATAGATGATATAAGTTCGAGTGTGATATTGACGTAAGCGAACGTTTTTTATATTAAAATATTTAAATTGGTAACAGGCTTTTCATTTTTGAATCCTCAACTTGTATTCTAAAGGGTAAATTAATAAAGACTGTTTTTTAATTGGTTTATTCAACGTTTTTCTGTTTTTTCCAATAATTCTTCTTATGTTAGTAATTACAAGTTTATGTGACAATATTTTTCGTTTTTATTTCATTTTCATAAACGTATTTTTTTATAAACATCTCCACATTTCTTCATAACACGGTCGTTCGACCTACTGTCTCAATCGCTCTAACTCTTAGGAAAATGCAAATAATATTAAACTTCAAAATCTGTCTACAATTATTCGAACGTGATTAATCTTACTTCGAATATCGAACGTTGCCTACATGGGGCACAGGCACAGGCATAACATTGGCTACGCGAAGTGCTACGCTGTCCTGTAGCAGCGGGGGTGTGCTACGAAACAACGCGTTGCGTTTACCACTCTTTACGCTACATTGCCAAAAAACTTCAAAACTATTTTGGCAAGACACGGTCTTACAGAACTTGCCAGAATGATTTAGTAAACACGAATTTTAGAACAGATGTTAAGACCTGCATTACGCCTGTGCCTGGAACCCATTTATCATTTAGAAGGCGAAACATAAGACTTAGTACACGATCACTACTTGAAAAACACCTACGACACATCCTAGATCATATTAATATACAATTTTAAACGGCCGCGTGTTGTGGCAGTGCTCGCCGACGCCGGCGCAGCGGCCGCGCCGACCGCTCACGCTTGTCAATGTTTACAATACTCTTTACACTACACTACCTCTCTCACTATGAATATAGTTTAATATTACAAATGTAGCGGCCCCGTGCACGAATATGTCGTTATCGAACCTCCTCGGTGAATTAATTTTTTTTCTTTCAAAACATTTCACTATCATTAAGTTATCACTGTTATCACTGTAAATTAATATATATTTATATGATCTAGAACTTTTAAGGATTAATTAATTCACGTAGAGAAGAGTAGGACGTCGCGTCGCTTCGCCGGTAACAGAAATGAAACAGGTGACAGTCGCGCGGGAGCTAACTTTACAGGGGGAAGAAATCTTGCTTCACAAAGTATTCAACTTAACATACTTTGAACAACTATAAACTTGTATCTAGACCAACATAATTCTATCAAATTAATACAAAAAACATTTATATTTAAATGGAAATGACGCTAATTACATGTATTATAGACTAATTTATGAACAGACATCAAACCAACAGATATTAGCGATTACACAAACTCTCGCGTAGCTAAGGGGTAACTTAATGGTCAATTACTTTATGTATAAGTTAACTTGGATCCGTTCATTTACTTATATACCATTACCGTACCCTTTAGCCACGTTTGACTACATACAAAACATTTCATATAATACAAAATAATGTTTTTAATTAAAAAGATATACAACTTTTGGATGTGTACAAGAAGTACCTTCGGATAGTAACGTAAACATACATTCTAAATGCGTTCGAATTCTAATTATGCAATTATGATTTATCATAAGACGTTTTAAATATTTTATCGTTCCTTATTTCACTAGCTAAGTTCTTAAAATTGAAGGCCAAGTCATTCTATTGGATTCGTTTGATGAACACACAAATAACGTATAACTGATTTGGTAAGTCACACTATTTTGGAGTTGAGATTCTTTTGTGCTGTACTATCCGCGCATAAATATGCCTCAAAGCAAATTACTATTATTTCACAAAATCATTATTGTTTATTAAACCAAACTTCCAATTAAATAAACATAAATTAAACATTCGAACTTGAAATTGTTTAAAAGCAATAAAACTGTATAAAGATTAGATTTTTACGCGAAATCTTTTTTTAATATAAAGTTATGTCATTACTAAATTGTTTTTAATATAAACTAAAGTAGTTTTTATTTTATAGTTAACTTAAATTGGTATATCAAAAGCAGGATATGTTCTGATTTAAATTTTCAATAAATGTCGGGTAGTTTCACGAGGATAGTACACACAATCAAATGTGTAAATACATTCGTTGAGCCTTTAATTTAACACACAGATATCAAACAACATTCATCTTAAAAAATCGGAACTCGCTCATATTATTTCGTTGTTTTGCAAATATTCTTTCATACTGCAAATATCTTCACGCTTTCACACCATTTACACGTTAACACGAACAAAAACTCAACATCCTACTCTATTACATCATCGAATACCATATTTTGAATAATTTCTTTTGTTTTTTTTTATATAAAATTTTCATATATCTATCTCGCAAGTGTATGTTAATAAAATTATTGCAGAGTATAAAATGTAACACCAACAGATCACGGAATTCACTATAATACAACTTAGTATTGTATAACGAAGGCTACCTTTTGGTGTTATCCTTACGCTACCTTAACGCAAACTTCTCCGAAGAACATCAATGGACGACCCCGAAAGCGACTTCTGATCATGTTTTGTGCGTGTGTGTGACAGTCGACTGAGCTGGTGCGTTACCTACTGACAATCTGTCTTATCATATAGTACCTACTTAAGACTAAGTTCACATCAACACCTGGTATAGGTTTTAACAAAACAATAATTTACTAGAGAGCGAAGAGACACACAAGAAAAATATGGGTACACATTTTACATAACGGTATTTGTATAATTTTATAAGCTCTGTTTTAAGGTTTTAACATTGAGAAGTTAAGAAAGAAAAAAATTATAATACAAAAAAATATTTGGTACTAATTATTATAAAACAGAAAAGAACATAAATTTTAGCTTAAAATTAACTCATTAATTCCCTTCTACGTCTATTTTAAGTTACAAGTAACGATATGAACTTAGCCTTAAAATTATTGAGATGACAAAATTCGTCATGTCTGGCTGAAAGTAAATCCTGCGCGTCGTGACACCGAACATGTGACGTGTAATTTCTCTCAAAATCGATGTTTACAAAACAAAATGCACATAGCATCAGACGGTGCGTGAATGTCGTCATATTTCTAACATTTTCAGTTTACAGCTAAATACATATTTTTTCGTACGCTCTTACGCATACTTAGAATATTTTTCTTTATTATTTGTGCGTTATACATTTACACTTTATTTATGTACATCAAAATATACGTATATTATTCAAAAACATAATGTACATACTATCACCAAACATTTAACATAATATCAAATTCATTCGTGAACACTAAAACTACGGAAAGGACATTCTAGTTAACTTTTATCGCAACAAGAATTTTGGATGTCAGAAATTAATAATTAAATTTTTATATTTGGAATCAACGCCTGATTATAGTTGAGGCAAAAATGGTCCTTGGAGCCGGATCGAATAAATTTGTCTCAACCTTAATCGGCAGTTTATACACAATATACAAAAATAATAATGAGTTAGCAAGAGAAACTAGTAAGATTGATAACAGGAAGGTCGTATGCGCTTTTGTAAAGTTAAAACGTAACTTGTAGTGCGTGCTTTGGGAGGAAAGCAGGACATTCCATTGGTTCACACAGTCTTCAGGCACAGATGTCATTTCATTTGATTTTTATGTTAATAAATAGGTATTTCTAAGTTGTGGCGAAAGAAATCGATAAATGTTAGAAATTATAATTTTCACACTACATTTAGGAATTAAATTAAAATTAATCATAAAGGTGATAGAGCTAAAGTATGTTTAGAGCGAAAGTTTTTAGTATGCGCGTGAATATAATATCTAAACGAAGCAATTTTATAAAAGCGTAGACACACAACATGTCGAACTCCTCGCTTTTGGTCTTCAATTCATCTACTCTAGTAAAGATAACAGTGGACAAGTGAAGATTATTAAGAGTGAGAGTAGAAAAATCCAAAAAGAAGGAATTCACGGTCAATGTGTAAGTTTTAACGAGTGCTCGAAATTGTTCCAATTATGTTCTAATAATTCATTCTCTAATGCTAATCTTTGATAATTTACATATACACGTAGATATCGTGAAAAACGCTCGCCCCTAGGAGAGCAATAAGGACCCTATTGAATTTTAATTTTAAAACTCATTAATAACTTCAACAAATTGAGGTATTCATCTATAAGAACCGTTTTCAAGGACCGCCACAGGCCACAGGTGGACTTGTTAATATTATTATACATCTCTAGTTTCCTGAGAATATTATTGCCCGTATAAAACTCTGACAAATTGGTTTCATCTATCTTGTTTAATTAAGATTTTTAATTAGTTTAAACCTATGAATACACATGAAAATACGAAATAAAATATTCGTTGATTAGGACAGATATATTTTTGAACACGGCAGAGAAATTACTATTAGAAACTATTATTACTAAAACTTTACTTAATTTATTTTATGTGTATAAATCAGCAATTTTCTTTTCAAATGCTTCATGAATGATTATTGTAAACACCCATCGATTCTTTGATAATCACTTAAATATAACATAATTAAACCAATATAAGTAAAGAGGGTAGAGTGCAACGCATTCACTTTGCTCAAAGTGAAGGCACTTTCAATCACTCTCAGAGTGAGTTAATCGATTGAAACAATACGACCCACCGTCTTAACCATGCGATCCACTCCTAAATCAACCGACAAACATTGAAAGTAATTGGTTCGTAATTAAAGGTATTGCTGGACCACACACAATAATAATCAACAGATTTACAAGATTAAAATGTCTCC